AGTCCAGTTCCGGTTCAACATCATACTTATTTAGGCATTTCAAGCTCAATTTTAAAATAAAAATAAAAAATTAAATCTCTAATTCACTAATTTAGCTCATTGTATATGGATTATTTATTATTTATTTTTATCTTCAAGTACTAGTAAGTTATTTTAAAATAAAAATAAAAAATTAAATCTCTAATTCTCTAATTTAGCTCATTGTATATGGATTATTTATTATTTATTTTTATCTTCAAGTACTAGTAAGTTATTTAGGACCTTTAAATAATTATTTAAATTTAAAATATTAACAAAAAATTCAATTGTAAAATAAATATAATTTCTTAACAAACATTTCATTTTAGGGGTTTTTATTTATAAATCCTATTTTATCCATTGGTATTCATTAAGTCCCATCACTTTTTTCTTAATCAATAAAATCCCATTATATAAGTTGTTTGGAAGTAAGGGTGTGCGCGGTGCGGGTCGGTGGGGTTTGAGAGAAAAATAGAAATCGCATGGTGGGTGACGGATTGATAAAAGTATCACTAGAATTTACTATTTTTCTTATCAAAAACTGGCGGTTCGGTTGGCAAATAATGGCGAATTTGCCTTGGCGGTTCGGGCGGATTGGCAGTTTATAAAAAATATAATTCAAATTACAAAACTTAAATCAAAGAGTAAAAAAAAGACGAGAGATACCGTGATGTTAAGCATCTTGCGAAGCTTTCTTCTGATGCAGCAAGTGTAGCTACAACATGATAATATCAACGACTATGCCATCAATTCATTACAAGCATCTATGGAAGTTACAATGATCAAATACAATACATAAAATTAATATCATTTGGGGTTTACAATATATTGAAAATGTTTACTGTTTAAAAGTATTTAGATTGAAAAGTGAGCTGATACAAGTTTGCAACATGACCAGAAAAAAAAAAAAGATTGAAAAGTGAATTGAAATCCAACTTTATTTTGGATTACTGACATCTTGAATTTCCCCCGAGCAGTAATGTAATACTATATTCTAAAGTATAGAACAACAAGCAAACTTAAATAAAAAAGAATTTTTAGAATCTTATAAAACATGATGTAATAGCGGTGCAGATCGGTGCGGTTTGGAAGAAAAATAGAAACCGACGGATTGATAAAAGTGTCACTAGAATTTGTCATTTTTCTTACCAAAAACCGACGGTTCGATTGGCACATAATAACGAATTTGTCTTGGCGGTGCGGTTCGGTGCGATTTTGACGGTTTTGGCGGTTTCAGCGATTTCAGCGTTATTATGCACACCTTTATTTGGAAGACGCACTGCTGAAAATTTCACATTTAGTGGCGTTTAAAAAACGCCGCTATAGGTGTAAAAAACGCCGCTAATTCTTTTCCTGACGTTTAGTACCAAACGGCGAAGATGCGGCCGTCGCTATAACGTTATGACGCTTTAAAAACGTCATTAAATTAGAATAGACGGCGTTTTTAAAAACGCCACTAAATGTGATAAATAGAGATAAAATGACGTAAAAAAAAAAAGATTGAAAAGTGAATTGAAATCCAACTTTATTTTGGATTACTGACATCTTGAATTTCCCCCGAGCAGTAATGTAATACTATATTCTAAAGTATAGAACAACAAGCAAACTTAAGTAAGAAAGAATTTTTAGAATCTTATAAAACATGATTTAATAGCGGTGCGGGTCGGTGCGATTTGGAAGAAAAATAGAAACCGACGGATTGATAAAAATGTCACCAGAATTGTCATTTTTCTTACCAAAAACCGACAGTTCGATTGGCAAATAATAACGAATTTGCCTTGGCGGTGCGGTTCGGTGCGATTTTGACGATTTCGACGGTATTATGCACACCTCTATTTGGAAGGCGTCATTTTTTAGCACCATTTGATATATTTTTACCCTTATTTATGTGTAAATACAAATCTAAGAAAGTCAACTATTATTATTATATATTTTTTATGTTTCAAACTTTAAAATTCCATAATTTTTTATGTATACATCTGTTTTGATAAAAATTTACATTTTTTAAAATTACGCAATGAGATTTATCAAACAATATCTCACTTGAATATCAAAAAAAAACCTTCACTTTTTTTTTTTTTTTGAATTTGAAAGTATGAAAATTTTAACTTCTAAAATTTTATATTTTTTGAGAAATGTTTTTAAAATTTTACATAGTTTTTGAATTAAAAATTTTTAAAATCTCAATTTCTTATATAGAGTGAAATTTTACATACTGTAAATGTAAAATAAATTAAATTTCACAGTATCATATGAAGTCTTAAAGATATTTTATAAAATTCATAAATTTTTATTGAATGACTTTTGTAATTCTATGAATAAGAAAGATATGAATATTTTTTTGAAAAGTAGTGAATATACACACTAGTTTTTACACTTTTTAGAAACTAAAAGGGAGATTTATGTCGAATGGTGGCCAAGCTAAACTAACACGGAATCTGGTGTTGGGCCAAGTTAAACCAACACGAAGCATGGTGTTGCTAAACTAACACCAAGTGTGGTATTAGGTCGAACTAAACTAACACATAGTATAGGTCAGGCCAGGCCGTCATAGAGCATGATGTTGGGCCTAACTATCTTTAGCATCGCAGTATTAAGAGCCATAGTAGGGCCACAAGTCGGCCGAGCTAATAACAGTTTGAATCAGGCGCGGAGGAAAAGTGATACGCCTTAGGGCCACGTTATGTGGCCGAGATGACAAACGGCGTGTCCACAGTTGACCGGCTTGAGGTGATGTTGTTAAGGTTTTGGCCGAGCGTAGGTTCCTACTCAGAACCCAACATAATTTGGGCCACGTTATGTGGCCGAGATAACAAACGGCGTGTCCACAGTTGACCGGCTTGAGGTGATGTTGTTAAGGTTTTGGCCGAGCGTAGGTTCCTACTCAGAACCCAACATAATTTAACTCGGCTGGTCAAAGTTAGTGCCTTTGGTGCCACAAGTAATAGCTCGGTAGGGGTCCTCCATGTGGACCAATGGCAAGAGAAGAGAAATCTACTCTGGATATGAGTCAATATCATTTGGCAGTTTAGCCAATGTTGTTTGGCAATATTGATGCATACACATGTAAAGGAAAGAAAGGGCAGTACATTCACTCGTCCAGAGAAGGACAACAGAGATAATGCGCATACAATCTGGGGTTGCATGGCCAGCCTAGATAAGGAGGCGCAAGTAGACTTATGGTGATTTTTTTTTCTCCCTCAAAAATATATAATTTGATATAATATATATATATATATATATATATATATGACAAAATAAGCCATATTGTAAAAGATAAATTAAGATTACATACTGTAATTTGAAAATATTTTTCTATAATCAAGTTACAAATTGAATTAGGATTCTATTGCCAAATTTGGAGATACATTAAAAAGGGATTTTTTTGATCATTTTGAAAACTATGGGGCTAAATGAAATTGTAAATTATCAATAGGACCAAAAGGGATACAAGTTCTAATTATGGGGTTTATGAATGAAAACCCACTTATTTTTAAGTCATAGAAAGAAATATATACATGTATATTTAAATACTTTTATTATAATTTATTATTCTTATAATTTATTTTTTAACAATATAATTTAAAAATAAAAATAATATAAATGAATGGGCCTAGTTGGGCTAAAACTCCATGTTCCATGGCTAACTCAAAATTTTAACCCAACCTACACTATGCACAATTTTTTTTTCTTTTTTCTTTTTTGTCTTTTTCAAGTCCTAAAAATATCAAACTAGGTTTAACTGGCCATCAAGCCCATGACCACTCCTAAATTAGGATTGTTTGAGTCTCTTCGATTGTAAATTTTAAATCTAGTTTCACTTTAATTTTCATAATTTTAATTTCATCAATTTTAACTTAATATTTTCAATTATATTTTAATGTAATTCCTCCCGTCATCAATTGTTATTTAACGTTGTTAGAAGGATAAATGAAGTCCACAAAATTAGATGTATTAAAGTGCAAATAGACAAATTTTATTTATTTTTTTGTTTGTGCATAAATTACTAACTTTTTTATGAGATCTGCACATGATATTTTTTTTCCAGCCAAAATGTTGACAAAAAGATCACATTAAACAATAACAAGAAGTGTAAGATTTAAATTAATAAAATTAAAATTATAAAGACTACAACGAAATTTCATGGGGCCGCAATTAATGTTGGGTGCAAATCAATTGGATGGGGATTTGGGGTAACTGTTGTGCTAAAGACACAGTAATGATTGTTGTATCTCAATTTGAGGTGCATTATGAGTTTGTTTTTATGATCTAAACCGTTTATTTTGTAGGGTTTATTAAGTATTTCATACCTACCAAAAATCATATTAATTGAATATCAATAACTATATGATCGATAACCAACAAAATAAATAATAAGTTTTTCTTTTGAGAAATAACATAAAAAATATGCAATTCAATCATATAGTTATTGGTATTCGATTAATATCTTTTTTTAGGCATGCAATATTCAACAAACCCTACAAAATAAACGGTTCAGAACATAAAAATAAGCCCATAATGTACCTCAAATTGAGGCACAACAGTCACAACTATGCCTTTAGCATAGCAGTAACCCCATTTCTATAGGATGGCCAACCAAAGGCATAATTCAGGCTCCGTTTGGAAGGTGGGATTGAGGCCAAAATAAGATAAACTATTTAAAATCATTACAGGTCTATAATTTAAAATTAATTATCATATATTACGCTTTTTTATATTTCTTAATGATAAAAAATTATTGATCATATTTTCTTCATCAATCATAATATTTTAGATTACCACATGACTATATTTCAAGAGTACCCAATAACCACTTATAAAATAAACAATAAGCCAAAATATCCAATCACACCACTTTTTTATTTTTTTATATATTTTTTTGGTAAGGAATTAAAAAAAAAATTAACTAAAATACTAGCATCATTCTCCCTCGGTACGTTTGGGCCCGAGTCAAGGCCAGCCTAAGATTCTCGAAAGTTAACGGGCTGAGCGGTTTGAATTCGGGCCTAGTTAGCCTGGCTTTCTTGGAAGAAGGGACACCCGAAGAAGTTCATTCATACATATCTTTCAGATCGAAACGAAATTTTGCTCCGTATTTTGTTGAGAAAGTAGCAATCAAAATCAAAATCTCAAAATGAATGTAAAAGATTTTCTCTTTTTGTTGTGATTTTGGTAATCATGACTGAGAAAATTTTGTTACTGATCTATTTCTGTGTTATATATGCAGCTGGTGGACTCTAATCAAGCTCAAAACAACAACTTAATGGTCTCTGAAGCTGCATCAGAGCGAACTCTGTATGTCTCTCTCTCTCTCTATATATATATATGTCTACAAATTCTGTTATAAAAAATTGATCTTTCCCCAAATTGAGATTGTTGAGAGGTATATAGCAACCGAATCACAGTGTGTTGTTTGCAAAGAGCCCTATGAAATAGGATAATGAAGTTCCCCATAATTAATACTGCATCGTGAATTGCCTACTGGTGGCATAGAGTGTTTTTCAATGTATGCCAAAACGAGCGAATCAAACCGGAAATGCTGATGAGGTGGTTGTGTAGGATTAACTATATAGAGGCTGCATGGTGGTGGATTTCTTGTTTGGAGACTATTCGGAGGAAGAAAAAAAGGCGAGTGGCACGAGAGGGGGCTGGGGGAGGAGGGAAATGGAAAGGAAGGGGTGGAATTTAAGGAATAGGAATTTTGCTAAGAGTTAATCCCATATAATCATTGGTTTCTTATTGTTTTTGAGGATTGTCAATGGGTTTTAGGTTTAACCCTAATTACAACTTCTATCCTACTTTCCTCCATGTTATACAGCATGGAAATGTTTGTACCTATACTCAGTAGGAGTGAGATTTGAAACTTTTTCTCTAGAGCGGTTTCCACATGTTCACATGTTTTGGATTGAAAATTGCAGCCCTAGGAGTGATTTTGGTAAGCTGGCTAGGTTGAAATTAACATCAATCATAAGTTTTTTTTTTTTTTTTCACAAGAAGATGATTAAAGAATTGGTTGCTTTGTCTTCATTGATTTATTATGCTTTTAGGGAATTGTCAAATTTTGTACTGTGGGTATTTTCAAAATTTGTGCAAAAAAAAAATCGGATGTAAGATTTTTTGTGCACGGCTTTGGGAGGTGATAATCAAGAAATTATTTCTTTGACTACACCTCACTCCACTAATTTTGGGGAAATGTCAAATGATTTGAGACATTTTCCAGCAGTATGCAAGCGACTCCCAAAGTTCATACTATTTGTGAGTTGTTTTACTTTATAAAATACAGTTTTACTTTATTTATTTTTTCAAGCCCTATTGTTGTAAATTTCATGTATTACCTGGAGTTATGCAATTCTAGCTTTGGGTTTATGTGGCAAGGATTATATTCTTGGCTTTTTTTTGAAAATCCTACTAATGAAGCTTATTGAGTGCCTTTGCCATGGTTCCACTAGAAAAAATGTAGTCTTGTTAATATGAACACTTGTACATGTCAAGCTTTTGGAATGACTTAGATATCTTTGTTTTTACGTTTTCAACAGTGCTGCCAAATTGCCAATATTTATTTGTCCTCCTAACTGCTCAAAGACAATCCTTAAGTATTGCGTCATACCCTTTTGGGTTATGCTGCCAAGATTTCCTAATGGATAGTATAGTCACTACTTCCAAGTTACAAGTTCCAATCTACTTATGTCTCCCTTCATTTAGGGCCCCTTTCCTGTTTCTAGGAGTAAAATATCAATGTAGTGATATTGAGGTTTCAATTCCAAATATATATGGACTTTGTTGATGTTGATTTTGACGTTGATTATTGCGGGAAAGTAGTAGTTTACTTTAGTAGTGATATTGACATTCCAGAAGTGGTGAAATTTGGCAGTTAATAGAATGGCATGCACAACTACTTTAATACATACAAAGGTAGAAAGCATGCGTTGAATGAAGTTTTAAAATATTGGTGTATGCTATGAAGCACGGATACTTCAAAAAGCATACTGCATTATTAAAAATTGTAAAAATAATATTTTTACGAATGTATCCCTGCCGTACCCGTATCCTAGTTTTTCAAATTTTTCCGTATCGCCGTATCCATATCGTATCGTATCCGTATCCCGTATAATGAAGTTTTAAAATATTGGTGTATGATACCTGTATTTTGATATCGACACATAATCAATTCCATGACTTGTTAAGAGTTTTAATCTAGGGAGTTTAAACATTTGGAATTAGTCCTAATATGTGGTTTTTCAGTATATGTTTACTTGTTGCAACTTACTGTTGTGATGGAAATACGAATAGGTTGAGCTTTGTTATAGCATTATCCAATTCAAATGTTATTTGGTTGTGTTCTATGTGCATGTTGGCAGCACTCTTTAAAAGATAATTTGACCATAATATTTTTGGCTGCCTCAATCTGTAATGTTTTGCTTGAAAACCTGTTTAGTCATTTAATTGACCTTGTTTATGCATATGTGTATGTGAATTTGTCGGAGATTTTTTTCCAATGTAAGAACTCATTGAATTAAGTCAAGTACTTATACAATCAATGATATTTGGGGTTTCAGTAGTTTGATCTTCATCAGTTTAAGATCCCCCCCCAAAAAATGTGATTTATTTTTTTGAATAACATATGTTACATGGAACTGTGTTGTTTGCACAAAAAATACAAAAAAATGTACTTTTTGTTAACACAGAAGGATTTGGTGGATTGCGGACATGCCAAGACAACAGTGCCTAAGTGGATGAAAATAGGAATGGAAAATCTTTGACTTCTAAAATAGGGGATTTTATGAGGTCCAAAGGGATGAAAACCTCATGGTTCTTGTTTTGCCTCAATAAAGAGGACTTAAAATCTCTAAGGAATTTGTTAAGTTAAGAAGAGAAATGGATAGAAGGAAATGAACTAAAAAAAAACTACTTTTATAGATTCAAATGGTTTGAACATATAAAAGTGCAAGAACTAGTTTGAAAAACATAAAATTGAGTTACAAATGGAATGTAGACGCAATTAAAGCTTCAAAACAAATGATGGCCAAACAACTAATTGACACCGGTGTCAAGTAAACTAGGGCTAAATCTATGACAAAAATGCAGTTTCCTGTTAATGTAGGGCTAAATTGGAGGCAAGACTGTGGATAAATAGCATTGATGCCATGTAATTATGTTGATTGATTGATTGATTGATTAATTGATTTAGTAGAGTTTGTTCCATCTTCAAATGGGGTATTTATAGATGCTAAGACCTCTTGAGAATCAAGTACTGCCTCTTAGAAATCAGCAACTACCTCTTGAAATATCTCCATGATCTCTAGATAATGGGTTGTTTGAATTCACCCTGAACTACCATCTGCCATATCTTCTTCCTTCTCAACAAGTGGTTGATTGTTCCTCAAGACTATGAGCTATTATAACCTCCATTAAATTTGGACCATTGGATGGTGGGTGAGGATATTGGATGGATGACACTTCTTCCGCCTTGGTCAAAGTAGCACCTTTATTGTGGGAGTTGTTAAGCACATTTGAACTAAGGTCGTAGTTAGTGAATGCCTCCTCCATTTGATTAATGTCACGTGACCATCTGATGCATTTTTTCCAAATATATATAATAATTAATATATATATTTATCAATAAAAGAGTAAAAGAGTCCCACGTGATCCTTACTTCTTAGGAATTTGACTAAATCAAATCAAAGTCATGATTGCAACTTTCCATAACTCAAACCCAAATTTGTTAACACTTTGTAATGCTAGAGATACCCATTTTCACTCACCACAAAGACACGTGGTAGCTCTTGACTAGTGGGTTATTTTCAGTACAATCACTGCCCCCTTCAAGCTTTATTCTTGAATAAAATGTGAAGCTCGATTTGAATTTGTGCCTATCCTCTTACTACCAAACTCTCCTCTTTATCTATCCTAATTAAACAAGATTCTCCATTACTTTTGGTAGCAAACTCAAGTAATTTTAAAATTCAAAATGGATTTTCCCAAATCCTTTCTAACTTATTGGTTGAATAGATTTATTTTTTGTGTTTCTTCACACAAGATAACCAAAGATTCACGGACTTGGCCAAGGCCCTTTCAGTATGTAGGAAATTGGCTTTGGTCCCAATTATTTTGGCCCATTTGTATAGAACCATCAAAGAATTTCTGGACTCTAGATTCGTAGAAGGTGCTGGACCACTATATCTTTTTCAACTGTAGCTATAGGCTTATTTCCTTGAATTTCGCCTAGAGAAACCTTCTGCAGAGGCCGTTGTAACTTGCTTTGGGGACTCATATGTCAACACAATTTTTTAACTTCTCTTTTGGTAAGTGTTTCACCTTCTTTTCCTAAGAATCAGTCACTAGAAAGGCTGAAGTTTTTGGGGTTTGCCGAACAAGATGACCCCCCAGTGTCTGCAACCCGTCCTCTTGGAACAGGGGTATTGGATGATGAACCCTGACCATACCCAAGAGATGGTGGATGGTTAATGGTTAGACCTCTAGGCAGGGTGCCTTTTGGTTATTGTTCAATTGTTCCACATTGAGGGATAGCGGACTAAGCAGATGGTTGTATTCTATCTCCAAACATGGCCACTTTCTTTTTAATGCCCTTGTAAGCTCCTGTTGGGACTCTTTCATCTCATTGAAGGACCATGAGATCTTCTTGGAAACTTCACGATTCCCTCTGATGAGACAATTTCTGATGACTAACTCTTGGTAAAAGAAGGTGAAGCACTTATCAAAAGAGAAGTTCCAAGGTTCTGCGTTGACATAGGAGGTTGCGGAATTAAGGAAAATAAGCCCATAGCCACAGTTGAAGAAGTTAGGGTGGCCCAGCACCTTCTATGAATCTGGAGTCTACAAGTTCTTTCATACTTCTATACAAATGAGCTAGAATAACTGGAGCTATAGCCAATTTCCTACGTGCTAAAAAGATTTTGGCCAAGTCTAGGAAATTTTTGGTCACCTTTTGTGAAGAAATACAGAAAATAAACCTATTCAGCCAATAAGTTAGAAAAGAGATATGTTCTTTCTCAATCATCTCACCATCAACCTTCTTTTGGTCATTCAGAAAGATGCCATAGGAGAGGTCTTTTCAGTCTAGGTAAGCAAAGTTAATGCTTTTGTAGGAGATCAAGGCATTGGCTTCTTCACCGTGCGGGCGAATGCTAGCCAAAAATCTCAATTCTTGGATCGTTCGAGCCATCATGCCGAATCGAAAGTGGAAAGATTTGTTGAGACTGACCGAAATTGGCTTGCAACAAGGAGAAGATCTTTATCTAGCTTCCAAATGGAATGACTCAACATGATCAAGTCATAGATCCCGATCTCCTTTTGCAGCAGCAACGCGGTTAAGTCACTCAACATATGCTGAAGTGACAAAAGGCCAAAGGCGTATAGGAGTGTTGGCATGATATTTTTCCCGTTCTGGAGCAATCTCAGAGGCGAAAGGGAGATAGCCCTCCCGTTCTGGAGCAATCTCAGAGGCGAAAGGGAGATAGCCCTCCAATGAAAGGTAGTAAGCTTCCAAAAATGGCAGATATGGGGCTTGCAAAGAAGGGCCAAGATTGTGTTGACGTTGAGCCGGCGAAGAGAGAAGAGACGGGATGGAAATGAGATAGCCATTAAACGATAGGGGTTTGTGCTCAGTGATGAGTTTTGCAATAGTGTTACCTACGCTGCTAGGGTCTTTTGGAGTCAAGGAGAACCTTTTTGTTGACATTAATGAATAAGTGTTGAAGCTTCAAAGCTATGGAGGAGAGAGGAAGACGAATGTGTGGAGAAGGAATGTAAGAAAAATGGCTAAGTCCTAGTGTATGTATGAGGCTTTGGCAGAATCAAGGACTTGGGAAAATTCATTTTGAATTTTAAAATTACTTGAGTTTGCCGCCAAAAGTAATGGAAAATCCTATTTAATAAGGACCAATGAAGAGGAGAGTTCAGCGGCAGGAGGATAGGCACAAATCCAAATCAAGCTTCACTCTTTATTTAAGAGTAACGCTTGAGGGGGGCAGTGTTTGTATCAAAAAAACCCACCAGTCAGGAGCTGCCACATGTCTTTGTGATGAGTGAAAGTGGATAACTCTAGCATTCCACAGTGGTGACAAATTTGGGTTTGGGTGATGGAAAGTTGCAATCATGGTTTTGATTTGATTTAGTCAAATCTCTAAGAAGTAAGGTTCACGTGAGCCTCTTTTCCTTTTTTATCAATGGATATATGTGTATATATATATATTAATTATTAAATATATTTGGAGATAAATGCATCAGATGGTTACGTTGCATTGATCAAATGGAGGAAGCATCCACTACTTAGGCCATCCAAAGGCCTCAATTCAAATGTGCCCAACGGCTCCTACAATAAAGGCACTGCTTTGACCAAGGTAGGACAAGTGTCATCCATCCAAGATTCCCCATCCACCATCTAATGGTCCAGATTTGAAGGAGGTTATAATAGCTCCTAGTCTTGAGGAACAATCAACCACTTGTTGAGAAGAAGGAAGATAGGAAAGATGGCAATTCAGGAGGAACTCAAGCAACCCACTATCTAGAGATCATGGAGATACTTCAGGAGGTAGTTGCTGATTTTTAGGAGGTAAGGTGTGATTCTCAAGAGGTCTTAGCATCTATAAATTCCACATTTGAAGATTGAACAAACCCCATTCAATCACAACATAATTACATGGCATCAGTGCTATTTATCCCTAGTCTTAGCTCCAATTTAGCCCTAGATTAGCAGTGAAAGGCATCTTTGCCATAGATTTAGCCTTAGTTTACTTGACACGTGTATCAATTAGTTGTTTGGCCATCAATGGCATTTGCTTTGAAGCTTAAATTGTGTCTACATTCCATTTGTAACTCAATTTAATGTTTTTCAAACTATTTCTTGCACTTTTATATGTTCAATCCGTTTGAATCCATAAAAGTAGTTGTTTTTTAGTTCATTTCCTTCTATCCATTTCTGTTCTTAACTTTACAAACTCGTTGGAGATTTTAAGTCCTCTTTATTGAGGCAGAACAAAAACCAAGAGGTTTTTATCCCTTTGGACTTCACATAATCCCCTGCTTTAGAAATTAGAGATTTTCCATTCCCATTTTCGTCCACTTAGACACTGTTGCCTTGGCATGCCCCGCAATCCACCAAATCCTTTTGTGTTAACCAAAAGTGTATTTTTGTATTTTTTGTGCAAATTACTTCTTTTTAGAGGTAGGACAAAAGAACAATGGTGTACTTTCTTCTTTTTTCTTCTTTGTGTGCATGTGTGGTTGTTAGAGACTAATGAAAACCTAAAAAGCACACTCACTCTACGGAGGAGGTGTGTCATGTCGGACACTGACACTCTGTGGGCACTCCCAACAGCGTGTCTGTCACTTCTTCAACACATCTTAATCGAAGTTTAAATTCATAATATTGGATACTTCTTGATGTGAGAATATATTGTATATTTTCTATTATAGTCCTATTAGAGGTATGATTGTGTTAGAGTCCTATTAGAGGCATAATTGTATTCTCCTAGTCCTATTAGAGACATAATTGTATTCTCCCTTTTGGTTTAGGATTTAAGACTATATAATCTAAGGTCTGATTGTAATCATTCGCACATTGAATATATGAGATACAGAAAGCTATTCAGAAATCTTGCATGGTATCGGAGCCGTTCTCTGATCCGAAACCCTAGAGCCATCTCCATTGCTCTCTTGTTCGTGGTTGTGCCTTGTCTCAGTCAACCTATCTGGATTTCTTCTTTGTTTGTGCTATTTGGTAGTCGCACCCATCCAACGGTTCGACCCATCTAGTCATCGCCTCCTCACAGCTCATCTTCTCTCTTTGGCTCTCCTTCGTGGTCAACCCATCTTGGTTTTTGCAAGACTTCGACCCATCTCTAGTTCAGTCTGTCGAAACCCCTAGTTCTCTCTTTGGTTCGAAGCTCTCTGGACAAATTTCGCGACCTAGCTGATTCGCAAGTCTTTGACTCGCGACTTCTTCTCGTTGCTCTCTGCCTCGCGATTGTCCCTGGTGTATGGTTCTCTGGTTGCTTCGTCGCATCTGTTGGTTGCATCGAAGTGAAGTTACCTCTCAACTTCTCTCACTCAAAAGGGTTATGTTTGAGGCTGGTTCGACCCATTGGATTTTGCATCTGAAATCCTCTAATAGGACTCTAACGCAATCATACCTCTAATAGGACTATAATAGAAAATACACAATATATTCTCCCAGTCCTATTAGAGGCATAATTGTATTCTCCCTTTTGGTTTAGGATTTAGGACTATATAATCTAAGGTCTGATTGTAATCATTCACACATTGAATATATGAGATACAGAAAGCTATTCAGAAATCTTACACTTGAACCCTCCAAACTCGACTTATGTGATAAATCTCTTCATAGGAACAATGTGCAATCTAAATACATTTTAAAACATTTATAAGATGAATACAATTGTTTTGTATTCTTTATAATGCAATTGTTATGTAAATGATATCTTAATGTTTTAAGTTGTGGAATATATGGCTTTTTAATTTTAGTTAGTGTTATGTTCCTTTTTTTATTACAAGGGAGATGAATAGGATATATCTTAAAACGTGCCAAGGGCACTCCTTTATGATTCCACTACAAGCACAAGTATTTCATCAGGACCTGTTTGGTGGTCTCAAAATGTTAATTGGACCATTTTAGAAGTTGCAAACCAGAATAGGGTGCAAAGAACTGAAAGTCCTTTTAAGTTCGTCCAAGAACCATGCTTATGCACCAGGCTCAAAATTTTTTGGTAAACCATCATATCAAAGGTCCGGAGGAGAACTTGCCACATTCTACCTTGTGAATTAAATGAGATTGGAACTGGAGAAAGAGATACAATTGGAGGGAATAACCGACCGATGAAAGAACATGAAATGAAACCATTATGATTCAATGGAGGAACAAGAAACAGTTGGGGCAATAAAGTAGGTGAAGTGACTGGGTTTTGCATATGTTCCCCCATTTATCAATTAGATAGATAATTAGATGTGTTTGGTGGCAAAATAATTCCCAAATCTATTATATTTTGCATTTTTAATAAAAATTTAAAATTGATTGTTTGTTATAAACTAAAAAATTACCTAATCTATAATCGGGAGATAAATTATTATTTTTTCTTTTGTGGCTATACAGGTTTTTGAATTAACTAATTTAGGATTGCACATTGGAATTAATAAATGCTAAATGGAATGGTTGAATTTGTGCAACCAAATGTAGCCTTTCCATGATGAGTACTCATTACTGAAATATGAGAATGTATTGAGTGGTAGATTATTGGAGGGTGTCACTAGTCATGTTCATATTTTATGGTGTTAGGGGTTAAACCTCTGAACCAGGGTTGAATCGCTGAAGCTGAATGTATACTCATATATACCAACAAACACATGCGTATATACATATATAGGTGCATGCATATGAAATGGATTAGCTTCTTTTTTTTTTCCTTTCTTTTTTGTGTGTGTGTGTGTCAGTGTGTGTTGAGTATGAAATCATTGATGAATTTTGGAACAGTTATCCATACGTGACCGGTACATCAGTAATTGGCATCAAGTACAAGGATGGTATTCTCATGGCTGCTGATATGGGAGGTAGCTCCTTAACTTGTCTTACTTGACTTCACATGACATATACTTATTTCTCGATTTCATTGATTTGAATTTTTATTTTTCAATATCCAATTATTTGGTGTCAACATCTATTTGAAGAGTATGATCGTTTAGATGTAGACAGTGGATAATCTACCGGAAGTCAACATCAGAGATTTGGCTATTTGCACTTTTGAGTTTTTCATACTAGTAGAGATAGCATCAATAATTCTTTGTTCCTCATCTGACACATGCTTCTATCTGGGTACATGAGAAAAGTTCTAAAATTGTTTCTACTTCATGTAATTAATGCTTCGATTTACAGGTTCCTATGGGTCTACCCTGCGTTACAAGAGTGTGGAGCGATTGAAGTCTATTGGAAAACACTCTCTTCTTGGTGCAAGTGGAGAAATTAGTGATTTTCAGGAGATTTTACGCAACCTTGACGAGCTCATGTAAGCATCTGATCTTGTAGAAAGACTTGGCAAATACGTAGTGCTGACCCTTTTGTATTTATTAATTTTTATTTGTTTTCCATTGTTACACTATCACTATATCGAGGATGGTGGTGCTCCCAGTGTTCATTGTAGATTCTGTAGATTCGTGACTCTTTTTTCCGTGAGTGCTTAATTTGGGCAGTTTGTATGACAATATGTGGGATGATGGGAACTCAATGGGGCCTAAGGAAGTGCACAACTATTTGACTCGGATGATGTACAATCGTCGCAACAAGTTCAACCCACTATGGAATTCACTTGTACTTGGAGGAGTGAAAAATGGTCAGAAGTATCTTGGAACGGTAATCTTATCTGTCAATTAACTCATTTACCTGATGCCCAAGGATAAGCTTTCTATATCATGGAATACGAATCATCTGTTTTAGTAAATGTGATCCAGGTTAATATGATCGGTGTTCATTTTGAGGACGATCATGTGGCAACTGGATTTGGAAATCACCTTGCAAGGCCTATTCTCCGTGATGAATGGCATGCAAACTTGAGTTTTGAAGATGGTGTTAAGTTACTGGAGAAATGCATGCGTGTACTTCTCTATCGTGATAGGTCTGCAATCAACAAACTTCAGGTATTTTTTTAACTCATGAAATTTACTTGATGGCTTCTTCTTATGGTGCCATTTATCATTTTTTTTTTCCTTTATTTATTTATTTTTTATTTTTTATGCTTGAGCCTTGATATGCTATCAGGTATTCTAATGAAATATTCTTAGATAGACTTTTGAGATGTTCACTAAAAGAAGATTTTCAGATTGCCTTTCTTGTCTTGCTGAACTTCTGAAAATTTTATTTTGTATTAAATGCTATTTGTCTTATATATTTGTACCACTGTTATCTTTGGGAGAAGTTCAGTATGATTTTTCGTTGATTCTAATTGTCAAATCGTTCAATTTTATCGCATTCATGAAGATCTGAGGGAGTTGTGAACTGAAAAACATGTAATTTGTTCTTTTTTCATCTAGTTCCTGTGAAAGTTTGATTGAACTATTGTGTTCTAGTTTAAATAAATACGCACACTGTTTCTTCTTCTAGATATCCGTAAATCTTCTAGAAATTTTGAGGAAATTTCGCTAACACTTAGGGGTTGTTTGGGATGACCTAAATAAGTGCACTTTTTGTCTTTTTACAAAAAGATGTACAGAAAAATAGAGAGGTGATGTGATGGAAAAAAGATAAAAAGATGGATTATATTGGAGTTGCCAAACTTGGCCTTAATCTCTGCAATAATTTTTTTTTAATTGTCTCTCTGGCTTAAATTCTAGTTTTGAACTTCATGTTGCTATTCTAATTAGATTGCTATGAGAATAGATTCTATTTTTAGCATGGGATGAGTTGCATCTAAAGCCTTGAGCAGCACTAAGCTAAGGCATGGGTCATGTTGCATGGACTTGGGTACAGGTATAGAGAGCTATTGTGTATCTAAGGGTTGGACCTATCAAACCTCTAACCGAAAGGATACACAGACTTTGAAAGGAAAAAAAAAAAAAAAAAGCACTATACTTTTGTAGCAATTGATGGGTCGTTTTCATACCAAAAAGAAAGAACTAAACTAAACCTCAATTCTGTAGAATAATGGTAAGTTCAAGAATCGATCCACGGGGACTAAAAGACTAAGTTGTTTAAATATTAGAAAATCAATTCTTAATTAATTCGAATCAGATGAATATTTTGATTTGAATATAAAATTAATTGAAAAGAATTATTAAACAAAAAGAAAGCTTGTGATGGAATTTAAGTAGAAAATAGTTTGGGGTTTTGAATCGAAGTCTAATTTGATAACAAGTAATTAACATATTGAATTCCAATAAATCAATGATTCGGATAATAGTGATATATCGTGGCTACAGGCCCCGATATCATTGTCAAGAGGATAAGTATAATCAAATCGCAAGCACGATGGTTGGCACAAATCGTCCACACTAAACTAGGTTGCGGCACGACTCGTCTCTCCTAAGCATGACTCGTCTCACGGTTAGTATATATAAGTAGGAATGGCAACGAGGCGGGTTGGGGCGGGGCGGGGCCGGGGACTACACTCCCCGTCCCTGATCCCCAAAAGTGATATATTTCTATGTAATTTTAATTTATGTATATAAAAGGGCAATACAAAAATAAAAGGGAAAATTATAATTTTAGTGTTAAACATTAGTGATTTTTTTTTTTTTTTTTTGATCTGCAAAAATATGTAAACAGCCTAATCCTATTGAAATATATTTGTCAACATATTTGCCAATTAAAAAAAATCCATAAACATTCAATTCAAACATATTTGTAACATATTTTCAAATTAAAAAAATCAGTAAACATCCAATTCAAATATATTTCAAATATGATATTTGTCAACCTATTTTCTATCTGTAAAGAACAAAATAACATCTATCAAATCAATATTCAATAAATCTGATATTTCAAATATGATATTTGTCAATAAATCTGTCCAGCAGCAGCATCCTATTCAAATCAATATATCCTAAACAAAATAGCATATGTCAAATATTCAATAAATCTGTCCAGCAGCAGTAGTAGCAGCATCCTATTCAAATCAATATATCCTAAACAAAATAACATCTGCCAAATATTTAATAAATCTGTCCAGCAGAGAGAATAGCATCCTGTTCAACAAAACAGCACAAACAACAAAACATCTATCCAGCAGCCCGCACACACAAGAAAATTCAACAAGTTGCAAAGAGAATAATTAGTCCCAAGCACAACCCGTAAGGGATAAGTTACCCAAAAATTGAAATTAAAAAAAAAAAAAAATTCATTACAACATAAAAAATCAAATCCATTGTTTCTCCAATACTCATACAAACCACACAACAACTTTCATCATCTCCTTCAACTTGAATTCCTGTTAAATAACAAAAGGAAATAAATAAATAATTAATACTAATAATAAAATGTAAAAAATAATTAAAACAAAAAAAGATGACAACAAACACAAAAGTGGCACAGGACTCATTCGAGTCGATCTCATCATCATCATCATATATAGTTGCATAGCCCACCGATTCCAATGTTGAATTTCCTAAAACGTAAAGAATATAAATTAAGTATTGAAATTATTCTATGGTAATATAAATAATAAAAGTGAAATAATAATATGTAGATTGAATGAAATAGCACCTTTCATCTCTGCACCCCACAACCAACTTTGTGCACACATTAATGCTTCTAATGTGTTTGGATGAAGTCTACTACGATGTGGACTCATCAACCTTTCACTAGTACTAAATGCTGACTCAGAAGCAACAGTGAATACAGGAATAGCTAAAATGTCCCTAGCTATTGCCTGTAAGGTCGGATACTTTGGTCCATTAGCTTTCCACCAATTCAAAACATCAAAACCTGAAGTTCTTGGCAAAACATTATCTTCTAGATAATGGTCCAACTCTGATCTTACATTCTTCATTTTTTTACTTCTCTTTCTACTAATAAACAAATCAAATTCTGAAAGGGTCTCTGTAACAATTTCTGGATGAGTAGAAGAGTCACCAACAACATTGGTCTCCATACTAACTCGGTGCTGATACTCTTGCAACAAATCATAACAAATCTGACGAACCCTATCAACTTCATCTTCAGCTTTGTCTCCATAAAGTTTTTCAAAATAAAACTCCAATACACTCATCTTATACCTAGGATCAAGTACAACTGCAACTCCAATAACACCATGTATCACTAACCAATATTTATCAAAATTTTCCACCATTTTTGATGCCATTGTTCTAATCACTTCAATTTCACAAGAGAGCCATTGAGACAGTGTCATCCTAATCTCACATAAAGCTAGGAAACAAACATTGGCTGTGAGATACTTAGTACCAGAAAATAACTCTGTGACAAAAAAAAAATCTTAAACCTCTCACTAATCTTTCCAGTAAACTCCCATTCTTGCTCACTTGGCACAGTCTTATATTGGGGCTCTCTAATTTTCAACCTAGAAAAGACATCCTTATACAATAAGGCTGTCTGAAGAATCAAGTAGGTTGAATTTCACCTAGTTGCACAATCAAGTCCAAATTTCTTAGTATGTGGAATACGCAATTGATTGACTGCTTCTTCAAATTTTTCTTGTCTTTTTGGTGTTGTTGTCCAATAAGCTAAACTCTCTCGAATTTTCTCCACACCCACTCGTATGACATCCAATCCATCTTTCACTATCAAATTCAAAATATGCGCACAATAACGCATATGAAACAAAGTACCACCCAACAAAAGCGATGTATTACTTAACTTATCCATCAACATGGTAATCATGGCATCATTTGTGGAGCAATTGTCAACAGTAACAATAGAGATTTTTCAATCAATATTCTAATCCATCATACACTCAAGCAAAGTATCACAAAGAACTTCTTTTGTGTGTGGACATGGAACATAAATAAACTTATAATATGATATTCATAAACAAGTATTAATAACATACAAATTGAACTGAATAAGATAGAACTTTTCAATGATTTGCAAATTTACAAAAATATACCTCAAAATGCGACTTTGCAATGTCCATGAATCATTAATAAAGTGTGCGGTGATAGTCATGAATTCTTTCTTTTGATTGCTAGCAGTGCACATATCAGTTGTGATTGCCACCCTACTTTTATTATGCTCCACCAAACTCAATGTCTTCACTCTCTCATAATCATAAATCTTTAAAATATCACTCTTTATCGTATTTCAAGAAGGCACTTTAAACAATGCTTGAAGTGCTGCTGAATATCATTTAAAACCAACATGGTCTACGATAGAGGGGATATTTATGCAAGATTGTGGCATGTGACAACTTTTTCCTAGCAAAATCTTGATAAAAAAATATAAGAATTCATTTTTGGACTCTCTCTACTAAAGTTGTTAGTTAAAGCTTTTTGCCTCAGGTCCATCACTTTTTTCCTAGTACAACTCTTATGGTGATCATGCAAATGCCTAGTTTCATTTTTTGAATCACTTCCAAGATGCTTATTACAATAATTACATATTGTCTTCCACACCCCGTTGACTTGTTTTTTAAAATGTTCCCACACAACACTAGGTTTTCTTTTAGTTCCTCCGCAAGTAGTATTAGACTCTTCTTCTAAATCAATAACATTTTGATTAGAGAGAGGAGACGGTGAGTTCGTAGGTGAGTTTGTAGCTGGCGATGAATGTTGTGACGCGTCACTCTCAAATGGTACTTGAGAGTTAACGGATACTTAAGAGTTAACGGGTACTTCAGAGTTCACTGGTGCTTTAGAGTTAACATCTGACATTTTTAACCTTTATAAAAATAATATGGATTCAATTAATATTAACAGAGGCAACATAAAAGTAGATTACTAGAACTGAGAAACAGATTAATAATAACTAAGCTAATGGATTGAATTAATGGAATTGAGAATGGAATCATCAACATCATCATCAACTAATTATCAATTTTCTTCACATAAACAGATAATGGAATCATCAACTAAGCTAATGGAATCATCAATATCATCAATTTATATTCAGCTAATGGAATCATCAACTACAAACAGACCAGAAGTAGTAAAATACACTCAGGAGCCACAAACAGACCATGACATAAACTACAGACCATTAATTAATGGAATCATCAACTACAAAGAGACCATGACATAAATTAATAAAAAAATATTAACAGAACTCTAAATTTATTCTTCATCATCATCAACATCATCATCAGGCTTGAAATATAATTAGGTGCCATAACTTTGAACTAAAATATCTGAACTAAGCAAGTTCTGGCTGAAATATAATCAGGCTTGAAATATCATCAATTTAATAACTAAGCAAGTTCTGGCTAATTTCTCAACATCATCATCAGGCTTGAAATATTAAAAAAAAAAATATTTATATTTATTTTAACAGATCAAGAACTCTATATATATTATATATATATATATAACCAAAACTCTATATTTATTCACCCAGAGCTGTATATATATACATATTTATTTAACAGATCAAAAAAAGGAATTTTAACGGATCAATAATAGATCAATGCATATTTATTTAACAAATCAAAAAATAATTTTTACGGAATTTTTACGGAATAAAAATAAATAAATAAATTTAGAGAAAAAAAAAGGAACAGAGGTCGAAACCCCTTGATATACACACAGATATATATATATATATGTAACCCTATATCGACATCCCGAGAGAGAGAGAGAGAGAGAGAGATAGATACCCTTTGAAAATCGGCGGTGAGGGAGGAGTGGCGGTGAGGGAGCAGCAGCCGTCGTGTGTGAGAGAGAGAGACGGAGGCGAAACTCTAACCAGCATCGGCGGTGAGGGAGAAGGATCGACAATGACGTACGAGCGGCGGTGATGGAGGATCGGCGGTGAGAGAGGATAGACGCCGTCGTTGAGAGAGAGAAAGAGAGGAAGGCGAAACCCTAGAGATAGAGAGAGAGAGCAGAGAGAGAGGGACGGCTTTGTGTTTGTGTTTGTGTTGTGTGTGTGTTCTATTCAACCAAAACCCTAAACACACACACGTGTTATATATAGCCAGGGGCAAAATAGTCATTTCATGTTGGGGGGCAAGCGAGACGGGGATCGGGGCCGGGGCGGGGCGGGGTTGGGCCGGGTCCGGGGCTAAAATAGGTATCCCCGTCCCCGGCCCGAATATCATCGGGGATTCAATTTTTAATACCATTCCTGGCCTGTCGGGGGTATTTTTCAGGGAATAACTGCTCAATTCGAGGTCGGGGGATCAGGTCCCCGTCGGGTCGGTTTCCAATTGCCATATCTATATATAAGTAAGCATAACAGTTGTATGATCATGCATTATCAATCACAGAAATCAAATACATAAATCAGATGAAAATGTATCTTAGACAAAAGATCTTTAACAATCATACGATGATTATCCAAATTTAAAAAAAACTAGAATCTAAATACAAAATTACAAGTTACTTGATTAGGGTTTTTTCTCAATCCCGAAGAAGAAGATTAGCCACCCATGGAGAAGGTGAAGAACGCCATGGATGTGGAGAACTCCATCCTTGGAAACTTTTGGTTTCCTCCCTGTTGCCTCTCGTGCTTCATTTCGATATGTGAAGAATCCCTTTTATGAAGGCTTGGTCACCCCTTTATACTCCCATATCTATTAGGGTTGGAATGGGCTTAAAAAGTGCATCAAAATATACATTTCAATCACGAAGGCTCATATAACTTGCACAACATAGAAATTCATTAAAATCATTAAATAATAATTGATATGGACTTAACTAGTATAGTTTAGGGGACCTCAATCTATTTATTTTAGCACTTACCAGCAATTATGCAACAAAAAATACATGTAATGACATTTCAATGGGAAGTCTCGGACACATACCCCATATTCTTATCCAAAGTGTCCGATACGGGTGTTTTGATCTACTTTGAAGAGTCCGTGTAACATAGAGGACATGGGTTACTAGGCTCTTTCACTGATTTGTGGCAACTATTATGTTGGTGCATGACGGCAGGACCTGCAGTAGCATATGCTGTAGTTTAGGAACTTATCAGGTAACTATCATGAATCAATGAAATTGAACGGATCATTTGAATGTTTCTATGTGTTCGTCATGGTGAATTTTTTTTCAACCCTCTGATATCATTATTGTATAGCACCAAATTTGATTTGTGTTATCTAGTGCCAAATCCTCGTAGAGTTTTATATATCTTTTCTGATGTTCTAATAATATAAGAAAATGCTAGTACTTCGGTCTAATCTAGAGATGGGACTATGAAATTCGTTTACTTGCTATAATGTGGATCTATGTAAGGGCTTTTCCTTGCAGAATTGGTTGTACTTAGTTCGCCCGAGCCAACTTAGTTTTTAGTTCCCTTTTCATATTAATGTGAATTATTGTGCTCAAGTTATTGGAAGGATGTTCTTTTCCATGACAAGGATTTTCTATTGCACGAATTAGTTCTTTACTTCTACACCGTCGAATTTTATTTATTTATTTTTAATTTTAATTTTTAAGGGGAAAATGAGCTAGATGTGGCAGTTTTTGAAGATTGTATGTAACACAATTGATAACTTGGAAATTGCAGATAGCAAAAATCACTGAAGAGGGCGTGACGATTTCTCAGCCCTATGCATTGAAGACTTTCTGGAATTTTGCTGCTTTTCAGAATCCAACTGTGGGCGCTGAAGGGTCTTGGTAGTGCCGAAGCATGTGGCTTGAAAATTGAAAAACATAGCAGCACCTTGAGTTGCCGAATTTAAAATTTGATTCCATCTTTATTTTCATTTAGTAGACTATATGTATGTTGTTAACTGAGTTCATTTGAAGTTTCTCTTGTGGACTAATCTACTGTGTTCATCAAATGATCGAAAGTGATAAGAGACATTGATTATCTGAACTGAAATGAATTGCCCTTTTATGTTTTTGAATTTAGAAACAAAAACTTGTTCTGTATATTGCTTGGAAGAAATTGATTCTAAAATTTCAAAAATTTTTGAAACAAAATCCTGTCCCCCACTGGCCACCGCCGGTGACCTTTTGGCCACCTTTCTGTAACTCTCTGGCCGGCTCCAATGACTGGGTAGTCACTACCTGAGACATCTAGCCGTCTTGTGATCTCCGGAGACATTCCAACCATCACCTTCGGCAGTCACCACTGGTCATCTCCCACTATCCATCACCACATTTGACTATATAGATTACATATTATATCCACCTCTAGCATCCTTGTTAACAATCCAACTTGGATAACAAAATTGTTTGATATTTATTACCTCCTTGTTTTTAGTATTCAATTCTCGATTACCTCTACTTCTATTATCATTAAAATTATATTCTATGTATTCAAGAGTAGGAAATGACAAAATTAGTTGATTTTATACGATTTTGTATGTAGATAAAATAAATCAGATTGATTTGATATTGAGCTCATTTAGTATCCAACTAAAAAATTCACATTTAAAAGATAAAAAATAAAAAAAAAACTTTTTTGTTCTTAGTTTTTCTATTTTTTTTTTTTAGAGTTAAATTTTTTGCTTTTCCTAATCCATTTAATGTACAAGAATTTAAAAAGAAATAAAAAAATTAAAAAATCCAAAAAAAACTCAATACAAAAAAAGAAGTTTTTTTTTTTTTTTTAATCTGTAGTAGTAATACTTTTTTTTCAAATTTTTTTATTATTTATCTTTCGTTCGTCTAGTCAAGTAGATTCTAAAAATCTAAACTTATTTGAAAATCTTAAAAATAATTCACTAAAATAAAAAAATAAAAAAAATCAATAAAAAAGTCAATACCAAACAGTTATATAATTTTATCATATTTATTTTTTTAAAAATAATTTATTTATAAAATTACCAAAATTAGCATATGAACCCGTGCGACGGGCTAAATAAATAATTAAAAATAATTTTTAAATTAAATAATAACATAAATTTTATTTAAAAAGTATATAAAAATAATTTAGAATGAATTAAATTTTAATCATTTTATTAGAATATATATTACAGTTATTATGTCATTAATTGTATATTCTAAGCTCACAATAAGAAATTATATTTATGATAAAATAAAAATAAATTTCGTTTTATAATTTTTTTAATTTTAAGTTTTCTATGTTAAAGTTTGTCATAAAACTTAAACTTACATTTTAGAAATAAAACAATATATATTTTGATAAAAACGTTAAAATCGGTTAAAAGACCAACCAACTTACATAAAAATTAATTAATTAAAATTTTTAAATGGAAGCGTAGGTTTATTTTATGTAAGTAAAACAACTCACTTTTTTTTTTCCCTTTTCTCGATATGAGATTATTTATAAAAAAAAATAACAATTGTTTGGGTGAGAAATTTATTTCAAATCAAACAATATCAGCCATTTAATATTTAATTAGGTCAATTTTTAATTTATTTTGAATCAAACAAATTTAACCAATATATTTTGATAAAATTGCTAAGATCGTGATTAAACTAGCGAATCAGTTAAACCGAAAACGGTTCAACCTAATCGGTTAGGTCAAAAAACCAATCAACCTATACAAAAATTAATTAATTAAAACTTTTAAATATTATTTTAATTTTAAAATTTAAACTATCTTGAACTGAAACATGCATAACACTACAATATTAAATAGGAATATAAGATTCATTTTCTATAGGTGACAACTCAGTTTTTCCTTCTTTTCCTGATGTAAGATATCGAGATAATTTTTTTCAAATATTATAATAATTAAATTGTAATAATTATATATATGAAAAATAAGTATTTTTCTTATAAAATCCATATAAAATTGGTTATTATAGTTGAAATTGAATTTGTATAGAAATTTATAAGTAAATAGAAAAGACATGCTGTTATAAATTTTTTAGAAAAAAATAAGCTTTTAGATTTTGCTATCTAAGCAAAAGAAAAACAATCCTTTTAATAATATATGCCTTCTGCCTTCGTTTGGCATGTCAAAAAATTTAATTTCTTGGTTATTTAAGTTACAAAAAAAAGGTTAAAAAGTTAATAAGACAAAATGTCATAGACAAGTTATAATCATTTCATTTTCTCTTATAAAGTTAAAAAAAAAACTAATCTTAAACGATACTTTTGAATTCCAAACTAAAATAGTTAAAAAATAAAAAAATTAAAAAGTTAACCCATATCTCAAACGAATATATATGATGATATGGTAGGATGATATATATGATGATATGGTAGGATGATGATTGATATGATATGTTAAATATAATAAAATTATTTAATTATAAATATTAAATCAAATTAATATTTTATAAATAATTTATCAATAAATTTTTTTTATTTTTTTTTTAAAATTTTGTTTTGCTATGTTTTTAGTTTCTCAAGCAAAATCAAACTAGGTTTCCCACTATAACTAGAAGCCCTACCTCTCGCGCTTCTCTTCTATAAATACTATCGTAGCACTCCCCAAACCCTTACGTTGCTCTCTGTTAGGGTTTAAGCTGTGTTACTTGCTTCGGCTATCTTTCTACTTCAGTAGGTCAGATCTCCGATCATTTGTTCTTCTATTTTCTGTTTCGATCTTAGTTCGATTTGTAAATTGTATCTATATGTATAGTGCTTATCTTGTTAAATTGTTTGCTTTCAAATGGAATTTGATCATTTTTGTTGCAAACGAGTTGGTTTGTTTGTTGATCGTATCTAATGATCGATACTGATGGACCTTGATATTGGATCAGCTCTGATTTGCTGAATTTGTATTACATTTGTATTCGGAAAATCATCTGCTTTTTCTTTTCTTTTTCTTTTTCTTTTTTAATTTGAAAAGATTGTAAGGGAATTAAATGGATATGCAATTAATATGTTTGCGGTATCTTCTTTTTTTTCTTGTTGAAATTTGATTGATTTGTTACACACTCAATCATATATAGTCCAACTCCATTGCCGTTGGTAAATTTGTGGGTTAGCATTTCTTGAATTGTGAAGTTAGAGCATCCTTATCAGCCTACCTAAATTTTATCCTAAAATATTATTAAAAAATTCATTCTCTATTTTAGGAATTATTTTTTGAAAAATGCCCAAGATCCCCAGTGGGGGTCACTGGGGGGTGGTGTGTGTCAGCGCGTGATTGGCCCAAAAAAAAAGACTTTTTTTTTTTTGTTTCAGCGAATTTAGTGCATAATTGTATAATTGTTAATAGCTTTATGTTAGTGCATAATTGTATAATTGTTAATAGCTTTATGTTAGTGCATAATTGTATAATTGTTAATAGCTTTAATTATTAATCACTTTAGCACTTTATTCTTTATGCTTTCGGTGGGCATCCAATGCACCATAATTCTCTCTATAAAGAGAGTGCATTCTCTTTGTAATACATATACATTTTACAGACAAACCAATTCATTCTCTCTCTCTCTCTCTCTCTCTCTCTCTCTATCCTCTCTCACTTTCTCAAACTATTATTTTCAGGGCGACCGGGTGGTCAATCAGTCAAGCTAATTTTGAACATTTTCCAGGACTCACGGAACATCCAGGGGACGTCTTTCGCGCCTATAAAATAAGAATTTATCAGGTATGAGGGAGGTATAGTGACTCTCTACAAATAGAGAGTCACTATAGCAATACATATATTTAGGGGGTTGGATAAGGGAACTGCTGGGGATGTGTTTTGACAGAAAGGAGGGAAGAGATGGGGATGCTCTTAGATTGGTAGTGTTCTACTTGCTGATTTATTTTATGGAAAATGCTAATAACAACCATCATTTGCCTTGATATGTGTGTAAAAATTGGGGCTGCTAATTTTGAAATCTAGAAGCTTGCTTTTTTCTGACTTTGATGCTATTGTCAGTTGGTTTAATTTTTTTATTTTCTACATGTTATAATTAACCCTTTTTTTTTTCTTTGTTACGCACATGTTTTCTTTTATTCTTTGTTTTTTTGTTTTTATCAATGATTGGGGCTTAGTTCCTTGGTTGACTGCTTTTTTGTGTCTTTTTTCTCTGCCGTGCATGCAAATATGTACTAGCAGGTACACTCTGTTTTACCTAATTTTGCTCCTACAGGTCTATTCCTATTGCTTTAAACCCTACTCAACTAGTATTATGGATCGTCATGATGCCTTCCATCCTATTTTCGTTATTTTGAATGGTTCAAACTATGTTTTGTGGGCCCAAGCCATGTCATCCTTCCTCAAAGGAAAGAAGCTCTGGCGAATTATCACCGGGGATGTGACTAAACCGGTGAAAGACAGTGACACTAATGAAACTACTGCTCTTATTGCTACATTTGAAGACCGACTTGAGGAATGGGACAGTAAGAATTACCAAATCATTACTTGGTTTTGTAATACCTCTGTTACCTCTATCAGTCTTCAGTTTGGTCGCTTTCAGCTTGACTCTGTAACAACTCTTGCAAAAGACATCTGGGATTTTTTAAAAGAACGATACCAGACTACTGGTCTTGCCCATCAATATTAACTTCAGAACCAACTTCACCGCATGCGCCAAGAATCCACTCAGTCCATTAATGACTTCCTTTCTCAAATGTACTCTGTTTGGGATCAGCTTGCTCTTTCAGAACCAACTTGGCATAACCAAGAAGATGCTGTTTTATTTACTATCTATCGCAACCAGCAAAGGTTGGTGCACTTTCTCAGGGCTCTTACTTTCTCCTTTGAGCTCGTACGTGCCTCTCTGCTTCATCGCCATCCATTGCCCACTCTTGAACAAGCAATTTCTGAGTTGCTATCAGAGGAGACTCGTCTCGGTACTCTTCAAACTCATCATGTGGATTCTGTTCTTACCACTCCTCCGTACCGGCTATCATTTACCCAGCGGACCACTGCTTGCCTCTATTGTCAGAATCGGGGCCTTCCTTCAACCCATCTCCTGGTCAATTGCCCCGTCAGATCCTGCCGCTACTGCAACAAACTTAGTCCTGGTCATCTGCAACAGGATTGTTTTCGCAATCCATCCCGATCATCCTCCAATAGCCACTCCTCTCACGGTGGCTCTTCCCGGGGAAGCTTTCATCGTTTCGAGAATCAGTCTCATCACACTGCTACTGCTGCTTCCGGGAATCAGTCTCATCACACTGCTGCTGCTGCTTCCGGGAATCAGTCTCATCACACTAATACTGCCGCCTCTGCGGGGTTCTCTGAGTCACCTGCTCCGTCTACCCCTCGCTTTTCTCCGACGGATGTCGAGGTCATGCTCAAACAACTTCTCTCCCTATCTGGTACACCTCTTCCTACTGCTTTGTCTGTAATCCCAGGTAACTCTTCTTGGTATTTTGACTCTGCCTGTTGTAATCATATGACCTCCAGTTCTACTATCTTTTCTTCCTTATCTTCATCTCCTCATATTCCCTCAACACATTCTGCTGATGGTTCTCTCATGTCTGTCCGTCATGTTGGTACTGTTTCCACCTCTTCTTTATCTATTCCTCAAGTTTATCATATCCCTGCTCTTACCTTAAACCTTATTTCCATTGGTCAATTATGTGAACTTGGTCTAACTGTCACATTTTCTACTATTGATTGTTTGGTACAGGACCCTCAGACGAGGCAGACTATTAGGATAGGCCGTAAGCATGGACGTCTCTATGAACTCATTCACCTTCATGTTCCTGCCTCTCCTCAGATCGCTGCTCCTACATCTACTTCCTCATTATCTCCCTTTCATCTTTGGCATTGTCGCTTAGGGCATATTTTTGTTAATTGCTTAAAGTCTTTGGTTTCTAGTGGACAGTTGGGTCATGTAATTCCCGATAATTTCGATTGTATACCCTGTCAACTTTCCAAACAACCTGCTTTATCATTTAATAAAAGTACTTCTGTTTCCCTTGTACCTTTTGATCTTATACATTCGGATATTTGGGGGTCCTCCCCTACTACTACTATAGGGGGATCCCGCTATTTTGTTGTTTTATTGATGATTTTTCCCGGTTTACTTAGTTTTTTCTCATGAAAAATAGGTCTGAACTTAAACACATTTATTATAGATTTGCCCAAATGGTCCACACCCAATTCTCCAAAGCCATCAAAATTTTTTGCTCTGACAATGCTATGGAATATCGAGATTCAGATTTCCTTTCCTTTCTTCAGCATCATGGTACACTGCCTCATCGTTCTTGTGCTGGCACGTCCCAGCAAAATGGCCGCGCTGAACGGAAACATAGGCATATTCTTTCTCCTTCTCTCTTCTTCCTGCCCTGAAAACTTTTGGGGGGAAGCTGCCCTCACTGCTGTTTGCACTATCAACTGTGCTCCTACCCCTGTCATCCATAATCAAACTCCCTTTGAACGTCTGCATGGCACTCCCCCTCCTTACGCCAATCTCCGGGTTTTTGGCTCTGCCTGCTTTGTTCTACTTCAATCCCATGAACACACCAAGCTTGAACCTCGCTCTCGTCTTTGTTGCTTTCTTGGGTATGGAATTGAACATAAAGGCTTTCGCTGTTGGGATCCTCTCTCTAAACGTCTTCGTATCTCCCGTCATGTCGTTTT